TTGTAATGAATCAAGAAGACCAGAACTAGTCAATTAAGCCTTCTGGTTTTCTGAATTGGTATTTCAAGGCCAAAAGTAAATGGAAAATGATCTCTTTCCCCCTCTTATAAGTAATTAATCACATTGGATGGTTAATTATGGTAATGACCTTCGCTCATAGTATTTTAATTTCTTTTGTAGAAAGTCAAGGTCTCCTTTGCTTTTTAAGTAGTTTAAGACTAATTCTTTCATAAATGATTTTAAAGACACCCTCAATATTGGTATGATGCTTTCAAGAAAATTAAATATTTTTTAGTATTAATCTCAAGATTTAAATACTATATATGGTTTACAAGACAACACTTTTTAATTACATTAATTTAAGATTTAATTTAGAAACTCTAGATTCTAATTAAACCCCATGTAGTTTAAAAAACATGCATTTAACCCCTCAAGTGTCTGATTTCACCTTCAATATATAATAAACTTGAGGGATCAAGTGAATATTTTGCAAACTACAAGGAGGTAATTAGCACATCTTCATAAATTCAGGGGTTAAGTGCACCCAACCCGAATCACATGGGATTCAAGTGCAATTTCTTCTAAATTAATGTTCTTTGTTTCACATTTGCCATTATTTTTTTTTTTTTTACTAATCTCTCAATATCCGATAACCACTTTAGATCTCGATTAATTCAAAATCGAATCATGTTAGACCCATTATGAAAAAAACTCTCCCAACACTTATTTCTCAATGCACAAGACTCGAATTTATTTAAGAGAAATCGAGTTCCTTCTACTTACATTAACAAATTATTATTCATATTTACCATTATTAAGAAGAAATATAAAATTTTAATAACAACTACACTAATCAATGTGTTTTTAAGTTATTCAATGATATTTCTCTGTTATTATAATTTCTTTGAAATTATAATTATATAAGACAAGTAAATAAGAACGGAGCAAGTACATGAATTTAGCTGACCAAAAAATTATTACTAGCTACTACCTGAATTAATAATTTGAATTACTAGAAGTCAATTGAATTTTAATTTGTCAATCTTTCCATATATGATTCAAACAAATCG